CATGAGGGATAGCAGAAAACAAGGGGGTGTGCTAACGTCTGAGGTTTGTCAGGCAAAATGAAAGGAGGTTGTTTGAAGTGTGCTTAAAAAAAGATCTGCCAGGAAAACCAAACATCCCTGGCTGACAGTGAAAACTGCACTGTCAGCATCATGGCTTTGATGCTAAGGCTAAGTGTGTCATCCCCCACACTCCCCAGCAGCGCGTGGTGGGACAGTAACGAGCAGTTTAGGTAAGAAATCATTAAATGTTGAGCTGTCTTGGAAAGGGAGGGGGAAACAAGGTTGGAAATACCCTGGTTATGCCTCATTAAGAAGGGGCCTGTCTTGGACAAGGAGGTGTTGATTTCTTCTCAATTACTCTGTTTCATCAGGGTCTGTTAGGTTGTGGAGTTGTTGTTTTTTTAAATAAACATGGCTGATGTGCCCATGTTTGGCATGTTAGTATTAAATAGGGGGCTCGGAAACAAGATTTCTCCTGTCTCCTGGGGAGAGCAGCATTTTTCTTGGAGCAGCATCTACTGTCTCAGCAAGGAGCTCTGCTGCCAGCACAGCAGACACCACTCTATCAGAACACCTCAGCCCAAATCCCCCAGCATTTCTTGCTCTTCTTGTCCTACTTCAGGGAGCCTCACAAAGGCTCCTTTCTCCTGCACTCCACTCACGGCTGCGCTAATCTCGGCACAGCACAGTTTTGCTGGCACACATGCTGCATCCCTTGCTGCTCTGTCCTGGCCTCACGCAGGTCTGGCAGTGCAAGGTTTGACCTTTATCTAGTGCAGCTTTTGCAGGTTCTGTAGCTACTTTGCTCAGAAGAGCGAATTGTTCTCAACCCTGTCCTGACGGCAGGGCAAGAAATAGCTTTGGTATCACACAAGGAAAAAGAACTCGGGCACTGTTGGTTTTGGCAAGGTGATCACTCTGGGTGCTTGAATATAAGAATACATTGTAGGGTTAAGTAGGGGCATGTGCTCAGGGAATAGTAGACTGAAATACCTGGGAGAACATGGGAGATGGAGAGCAGTGAATTTGGACAGAATCATATCATGCTTCCATTTCTAGCCCATTCTTGAGCTAACATTTGCCATGCTTCCAATAACTGTGCCCCATCGGGGGCTTTTGGGTGCCCAGTACAAAGCACACACATCTTCCTTCAGCCTTATCCACAGCCCCCAAAAAGCAGCTGTGTGAGTAGCAGGTCTGCAAGCCCTTGCTTCATACTGTCTTGGGTTCTATGAGTGAGGTCTTTCATGTGCTGTGAAGTGCTGGCACCAAGCAAGATGTGCAGAACCTCTCTCCTGTATCAGCTCTCTGATTGCCAACAGGGATTGAATGCTGTGGGCCACTCTTCAGTAAGGACAGTGAGACTCCTCTTCTCTCTGCAGCTGTGTGTTTTGCTGAAACTTACAGGTACTTTGATTTCACGCTGGGGAAACTGAATTGAAGTGTGTGCAGAGAAAGCTGGTGATGGCAGTGTCGGATGAGCTTCACTGACTCTGGTACCAGGCTACAGTAACCCCACAGCTGAGTCTGGATGAGCGTTTCAGCCTCCACCAGTAACATCCCAGGCTGTGGGAAATTGTTTCCAGTCTCACTTTCTTCAGGTAGCCCCTCCCCAATCCCAAGTGGTGCATGCCTGGGCTGTCTACGCATGACAGATGTTGCTCTGTTCCACCTAGGTTTTCTCCCTGGAGGAATTCCATATTTCATAAGTGCTGTCTTCAATGTAAAAATATAAACAAAAGCCAAATTATGCTCTGTAAAATATAGGTGTTGCCTCAACTCAGCTAATGGTAGTGCTCAGAGTTACTCTATATTTATTGCTGCTGCTGAAGTGTCTTGCTGTTGGAGAGGATGTGAACAGCTTGGTTTTGCTGAGTTGTCTCCTCCCAGTAATACTGATATGGTGAATACCCAGAAATCCACAGTGTCTGTACGTACCTTTATACACATAGCCATAAAGTCTCTAGAATCTCTCTCAGCAGTACTGGGGCTTTTCCAGTATTTCAGAGTTCTTAGTTGCTGGGTTGGGGTTTTTTTAAGCTTTAGCTGCTGGAATCCAGGGGTTGCAGAAGAGTTTTTCTGTCCCTCAGAGAAAACACCAGACATTTCTCATTCTCTTGATTGTACAGGAAACTGGAAAATAATATTTGAAGTTACCCAAAGGATTGGAACCTTTGAGGAAAATGAAAGGAGCCCCCAAATTACTTGGTTTAAGATTTCCTCTGTCCCCACATGCCCATGGCTCTTGGAGAAAACTGTCTCAGGAATGTTAGGGGAGGTGACTGGTAATTTGCATCTCAACAGTTCTGGCCCTCCTTTGATTGACTCCAAAGGAATTATGTATCTTCTCACATAAAAAGTCCTCCTCGCTCCTGCCTTTGCTTCCATCTCTGCAGGCATCTCTGGCACCCCCACTCCCACTCTCTGTTTGATCAAAGCTTCCCCTCTTCTCCTTTTATCATTTTTAAAGCATGCCTGCTTTAGAATCTCTGCCTCCTCCGCTGCAGCACATGCCCAGAGTCACCTTCCAGCCAAACATACTTCAAGTTCCTGTGCATTTTCCTTCAAGATCCTTTATGTGGGAGAGCCAAAGTTGTCCCCCAAGAAAGGAGAAGCCATCTCAGGATAAACTCAGCGTGGAGACTGAGAGCTGGCTAGGGCCTCCTCCCCTTCTTTTGCAAAGGGTAGACTGGAGAGATAAGACTTGTAGTGTCTGTAGGGCATGAGTGGGGCTCCTGTTCTGTCCTGGAAAACTACTTGAAAAGCCACAAACAGAGCATGATGGGCAATGGCAGAACCCACTGGCACTTGGATTTTCAGTGCTTCTTGGTGGCCTTGCCATGGGCTGTTCTCTTCTGCCTATGGAGCTTTTTTCTGCATTATAATTCATTGACAGAAGAGAGACAAGTGGTTTGTGATCTCATCCCTCTGTCAAAGCCCTTGGGACAGCCCCATATCAAGGCCAAGTACCGGGATGGATGGATGGATGGATGGATGGATGGATGGATGGATGGATGGATGGATGGATGGATACAGCCAGGTGGAGCAGTTGTAACCCTCTCTCCTGGCTCTGTGCCATGCCTCGTGGTTCCCACACAACTTGTGCGCCACCCTGCAGTCCTGAGGGTTGTTTGTGGAACAGGTCTAGTTAGCATCACCATGTTCAGCTACTTAGAATGTATCAAGGAAAGAATTTAAGGAAACAAAAGCAACCCATGACCACCCCACATCACCCATGACCACCCCATGTCACGTAACAGCTCCCTGCAGCACTGACACTGCACCATGGTTGTTCTGGGTTGTTGTAAATTTTATTCCAGGATCACAAGGACTTGCTTGGTAAAGTGCTGATATCGACTACCTTTCCACTCCAAAATGAGGCTGATATCATCTAAATCCCCCCTGAGTTGTGCCTACCCAGCCTGTTCTTACCAGCCTGCAGTGATGGAGACCCTGGTGATTGGCCAGGCAATCTACTTGAGTAATTAACTGTCTGTTCTGTTAGAAAGTGTTTCCTAATGTCTAACATCAATCTTGCTCTTTGTAATTTAAACCCCATTACTCCTCGCCCTATTCCCCCATGGAATCAGCAAAGGATTCTGCCCTTGTGCCACTGCCCTACACCCCGACTAGAGAAAGTCTCAGGCCAATTTAGGGCACGGCCTCTGCCCGCAGAGGTGGCTCCCCTGAGCACGGTGACACAAGCACAAGGGAAAACAGAAAGGAAAGATCTTTTGACACAGTGTGCTGATAGAAATGAGCCCCTTAGAAAGCACATGGGTTTGTGATGGCCGGCTGTGAGCCCGGAGGGAATGGGGCAGTAAGGTGGGTTTGTGGCATGTGCCTCCTGTTCTCTCCGACTGCGCCGGCGGTGACTGTAGTACCCAGGGGTGCTCGGGCAGGCGGGAAGAGCGGCTGCAGGGCACCAGTGAGACTTGGGGTGACAGGGGAGAGGTTTCACCCATTGTGAGGGACCCTGTCTGCATCCCTGCCTGCAGTGCACACCCCATCCTGCTGTCCCTACAGCCCGTGGGGCTGCCCCACTGCGTCCGGCTGTGCCACCGATGTGCGTCACTTTGCGCAACCGGAGCGATGCAGCCCCCCGGGGCCCACCCTCGTCACCTCCGGCCCCCCGTACAGACTTTCTCCTTTAAGCCTAGCTAGCTCAGAAATGACCAGGCTGATCCCTCCCACCTGCCCGCTCCCCCTGGCCCGGCCCTGACGTCAGGGGAAGGCGTGCGGATGCGTGTGTGTGTTCGAGGCGCACATCAGCCATCCGCTCATCAGACACCGCACATCCATCAGCCGGCGGGCAGCCAGCCCTGACAGCCCCCCGCAGCCGGGCTGCAGGCGACACCGCTGCTCCTCGCAAGGGAGCGGAGGAGCGTCCGGCCCCTCCGAGCACCGATGCTCTGCGGAGCGCAGCGCCAGGGAGCCCTTCGCTGCTAGGGAGGTGAGTAAGGGGAGGCACAATGGCCATGCAGCGCGCCAGGGCTGTTGTAGATGGAGATTAAACTTCACGGACCACCTTTTTCTTTGAAACCTGCTTTTTCCTTTTGGAGAGGTGCGAGGGTGAAGCGTGACTTCCCTCCTCCGGTTTGGTTATTCCCCACCAGCCTCAGGAACAATAACTCCCCTGGGGGTGGCGGCGGCAATGTTGCACGTCGGCTTTGGCTTGGGGGCAAATAATCCCGGGTTTTGCCACGGAGGGCTGAGCTCAGCTGGGATCCAGCTCCCGGATTGCCGGGTGAGCGGGAGGCAATTTGTGAAAAATCTGACTTATTAAAGTAGGCTGATAGTGATGGGGGCTGGAATTGGGATTTCTTTGGACTGGCTGCACTATTCCTGCAGATGGCAAGTTAGATCCACAAAGGAGGAAGGAAGGACACAGACGAAGATGTCTGTGCCATGTCTTTGAACAGATACTATGCTAATTAAAAAAAAATAAATCTCAAGAAAGTAAATAAATCTCACAAATTTGGTGTTTGGGAATGATGATTATGCATACATGCTTAAAAGGTAAATCAAGCCTCCATGATGGTTTCTCCCTTTGCTTGTCCTTTGCATTTGTCAGCCTGCTTGCTTTTCCTCATGGCCTCTCTGAGAACTGGGCAGCCCAGCACGGACTAAGGGAGCTTTTAATAATCAGTCCATAAAGGTGACATTCATATTTTAGCGCTAAGCAGGCTGTATCGTAGGCGAGACTATCTCAGCAAAGATCCCTGGAGTTGGGAGTGTGATTGGCTTAGCTGGGGAGGGGATGTTGTCAGTGTGCATTGCCCAAAAACCGCCTAGTTTTATTTTTCCTATAGTAATTTGTCTCGTCAAAGGGTTTGTAATAGGCAGGGTAGGTGAAAAAATGGCTTTGCTTGGTATTTAACTCTTAACATGATCTGGTGACCAAAAACGGGAGAGGGGGGAGCTGAGAGGCTTTCATTAGCATCAGACAGAGACAGCATTTATAAAAATCTGCCAGACACCAAGGCTGTGAGCCTTCTCCGAGGAAGGAAGGATGGAGAAACACAGCCCAGCCAGCGTTGCAGTGGCCCTGCTCTGCTCTCGGAAACCCCTGCCTGGAGCCATCGTGGTTCCCCAGCCGGTTCCTGCCCTTCATGGCAGCCCCCCTGGGATGGCTGCTGGCCACCGTGTTGTTGTCGGGTCCCTTGGCAGGTGAATATGTCCAGCAGCTGAAAAATGGGATTTTTGTTTTTGCATTGAGCTCTGGGGACACGCTCATGCGTCTGGAGGGGTGTAGCTCTTCTCTGTTTCAGCCTGTGTCTAGACAAGCTGAGTCTGGGGGGGCATCAGCCTCCCCGAGAATGGCAGCGGGCCAGAGCATTGCTTTCTGTGCTCCACGGGTGAGGAGATGGCTGCTGGCAGCTGTCTGTGGGGATGGGGTGTCTTTTTGCCATACAGAGACCTTTTCTTCTACTGGGGTGGGTTTAGAGGGGGTAGCAAACCTGACTCTTGAACTGGGCCCTTGGCAGTTGCAAGGGATGGAGAAAACGTCATGGAGAGTGGCATGGAAGAGCCCGTGCAGGAGATTGCTGCAAAAGGTAGCAGAGGGAAAATAACCTCCAGCTCCTTGGCTGGGGCCGGGGTACCAGTGGCACTCGGGAGAGCCGAGTGTGGTGTCAGGCAGCATCCGAGCTGGGGATTTACAAAGAGAAGCGGCGCCGTGAAAGGGAACTACCCACAAAGGCGACGGCCTGGCTGGCCGAAGGGCCACGTCCAGAGCCGGAGCGTGAGGGCCGCCAGCAAAGCGGCCACCCATCCGCCAATCCATCCTGGGCATGCCGGGGGCTCAGCGCACGGGAAGGAGCACAAAGAAACGCCGCACGGGAGGGCCGGCTCACCGAGGGCGATTAAGCTAATTAAATATGTATTCCCCCGCCCGGGCGAGGGAGCGTGAGGGGTTTTTTTTTCCGCTGCCACTAATGAACGGGGAGTGGCAGACAGAGGCTGCTGCCTCTTCAAAAGGCTCTTTCCCCTCTTCCAGGGGGCCTTGAAAGGCTGTTTAGTTAAACAAGGTCACAGCCAGCACCCAAGTCAATGTGTTTGGCTTTAAAGAAGGGGAGGGAGACAGTGATTTTATTTGATAAACCGCAGACCTTTCAGTCGCTGCTGATGAATGGGGGACTTGGATCTCGAGATAAAAGCTGATGTGTCTACTGCCTGTCTGCCTTAATTGGCCTGGGTTTCCTGCCTCCACCTGCAAAGGCTCCTGACTGTCAGCTCCGCTTGCTCAGGAGCCTGCCCTCCCAAAAATATAAAAGCAAAGCTGGCTTCTGCTGCCAAAGAAGACCCTGTCACCAGAGGGCTCTGGCGTTTGGCTTTGAGATGGTTTTTTTTGGGAGGAGAGAAGGTGGACAGGGAAGGAGGTGTTTTTTATAAAGAGCATCCTTTCAGGAAGCCCTGGGCTTGCAGCCACTTTCCTCCTTGGCTCGGAGGACTGTCACCCCGGGAGACCCTCTGAGCAAAGCCACCAAGAGGAGACAGGGAGGAGCGAGGTGGAGGTCCAGCAGTGGCGGTGGAGGGTGTTTACTCTGGAAAGGCTTCCCATGCCCCGCGGCAGAGCCGGGCTGCAGCAGTCTCTCCGCTTGCTTCCTCAAGTGACCCGGATTTCATCCGTCCATGCGCTGTATACGTGCGTGGGGTGGACATAGTGTCGTGGGGAGGTGTCAGCCAGGCCGGGAGAGACCTGAGGTGGGGAGAGATGCTCTCGTCCTCAGCAGAGATTACTGTGACCACAGGAGATTGAGGAGAGGGTGAAAATGCCTCTTGTGCCGAGGTACTCCCTCCTCGTCCCCTGCTGGGGCTGCATTGTGGAGAGATGGTTGGGGAGAGGATGGTGGGGTGGAGAGCAGGGAGGGAAGGAGGACAGTAGAGGTTTTCCCTGATCTGATTTTGGGCTGGGAGGAGAGGAGACACTGGTGAAGATATCCTTGTGTTCCCGCTCTTCTTTCAGCCTGCTGTTGCCCTGAGTTTAGTTTCCTCAGTCCCTTTGTTTGCAGCAGGGATTTAAAAGAAATGGGAGGTAGGACACAGCCCTGGAGACCCCCATGTGCCAAAGCTCCTACGCAGCCTCAGCTTCACCAGCACTGCCAAAGCCAGGAATTCAGCTGCTGGGCACCAAGGCTGACCAGCAAATCTGGGATGCTTGATCCAGGTGCTGAAGAGGGGCTGAGCGAGACAGCCTCGGCCTGGCTCCAGGACAGGGATCTCTGCTCCAGCCCCTGCTCCACGCAGGAGATAGAGCAGGCAGCTCCGTGAAATGTCCAGGCAGTGCATCCACCAAGGATGGGCATCCTACAGCCTTGCTGTGCCCTGTGCCTGTGTTTATCCCAGTGAGCTGCCACACTACACCAGGGCCCCCTCCAACATCCCCATGGGACATCCGGAGAGCCCTCAGGGTGCCTGTGGGGGATTGCACTTCACTTGTTCTCCCACAAGGAGCAAGCTCAGCTCCTGGGGGCGAACAGCAGCCCAGGAGGGCACCCTCTGCTGCTGCCCTCAGCTCTCAGGAGCAGACTGTCTGCCTCCTCAGCAGTGCCTCTGCCTCAGCATGTTCCCGTTCTTCCCCACCACTCATTCCCCAAAAGAGGGAGCCTTCCAGGGCACCTGGGCCTGGGCTGGTCCCTGGGTGAACCCGGGGCACCCCCCTTTGTGGTTGCCACTTCACCAGCGCACACCGTTTTGTCCGTGCAAACTCCCCCTCCTGCACACCCCCTTGCTTCTTGTTTTAATTTTGCCTCTGGGAAACTTCCATTTTTCCAGCCCCTTGTGGATTCCAACCAACTCCCTCAGCATACTAATAGTTTGCTCCAAGCATCCTTATTCGGGTTAAATACCCTCCATTGTCCCTAAACTGGTGGGGGAACAGAAAGGCCTCCTCTGTCAGAGAAAGCCGCACAGAGGAGGTGCACCACTGTGGTGAGGCCATTTTCATAGTGACAGCTTCATGATGTGGCAGACAACTGAGGGCCATTTCCCTCAAATCATCCCACTCCTCCAATCCTGACACCTCCTGGGAAGGTGACAAACCCTACAGAAATATATGGGGATCACATCACTTTTTGGTGCCCTGAAGTGGCCAGGCTGCTCACCAGCCCAGGCAGGGCAGGCAAGTGGGGGCACAGATGGGAGCTGGGAAGCAGTTCGGTGTCTGGTCTGGCTTTGGGGTGTCTCGTTTGGCTGCTCCCTGAGCCTCGCTGAGCTCCTTAGGCATGGAGGAAGGAGATCTGAGCCTGAGCCTGGGAATGGGAGAAGGAGATGCTGAGCCAGGGCTTGGGGGAAATAGATGCTGAACTGGGCATGGAAGCAGGAGCTGAGCAGCCCCTGTGTGGGGTGGGATGGGGGCAAAGGCAGATGTGCATGCTCCAGTTGCTGCATGGAAGAGAGCAGCCACTGAAGCACAGGAGGGGTTGGTGTGGGGGTGGGTGGGGAGCCAGCAAAGATGGTTTGTAGGGGTTTGCAGCCACAACTGGAAGTTGTCTCAGAGGGCAGGAGGAACGTGGTGGCTTGTGCCTTGGAATCCGACTCTAGTGTGGCCTTTACTGCCTGGGCCTGGGGGTGAAGCTCTGCAGGGCTGAGAGGGGGTAGCTGTTTGGAGGCTGGCTCAGGCCCGTGTGGGCAGCATCCCATGGCAGAATCCAAGCTGGACTGGCAGCTGTGGGGGCCCAGTGGCAGGCACAGCCCCTGGCAGAAGAAGAAGGTGGAGGTGGGTGAGGGGAACAGGAATTGCCTGGTGCCTCCTTGACACTTCAGTGCTCTAGAAATCTTTTCCCATGTCCTTGGTGCCTGCTAATTTCAGAGTGGAGGTGACCCCCTTTTGTGCATCCCCCCAGGGCCTTCGTGTCTCAAAAGGCCACAGTGAGTCAGAAAAGAAATTAAATATTCTCTCTGTTTTCTGGTGTGTGCAGGTGTTGTTCTAAAAGATGCTGCATGCCCCAGTGGGGTGGAAAAGGGCTGATGGGGGTGCTGGGGAAGGGGATGGAATCCGTGGAATATTGGGCTCCTCATCTCCAAGTGATGGAAACTCCTGAGGAGCAATGGAAATGGGTGAGCCCCCACCCAGTGCACCCAAAGAGGGGTGCCCTCAAGCAGCCCCTGGCGTGTGGCACCCTGGGACAAAAGCACCAGCGTCAGATGCAGCAAATTATTGGAATAAAAATCAACAGAGCAAGGCCTTTCTCAGCAAGCAGCTGCAGGGCTGATCACACATCAGAGCATCTGGGAGTCTTAAAAATGCACAACCCCTCCAATTTCATGCTGGGTGCTTCAGTAAGGACAAGAGTGCCCACAATTGCGATTGCTCCATCTGCAGGGTTTCTGCCCCTTAGGGCTTTAACTGCTTGCAAATGGCATGAAGCCTTCAGAAACTGGAGCCTGATGATGGCAGGAGGTTGTGCTTGTGTAGTGGCTGGACTGAGGTGCCTGAGGGACATGAGGGCTGCTGGCAGCCTCACTACAGTCTCCTGGTGTCCCTTCTTTCTGTAGGACTGTGCCTGGATGGGCAGCAGCTGCTGGCTGGGGTTGGGGTTGTGTCCTAAATCCTGTGGGGCTGAAGCAACCTCCTGTGCTGAGAAGACCTCAGACCCCTGACCTTGACGTACTGACCTGTTGTCTCAGCCTTTTTTCTTCACTTTTTAAATTACCAATCCCAGGATGGGGGAAATTCTCAGAGCCTGGGACTGGAGGCCCAGGCATGCTGGCACTGCATGGGCATCCTTCCCAAAATGGTCCCTGCCTTTGGCAGCCCAAGCTCCACTGCTTCTTTTCCCAGGGTGTGCTTTTTAGTGACTTCATCTCAAATATGTGGGATTATCCTGGCAACTGAAAGGTTGGACAAACCAAGTTCTTCCCTTGGGATTGATTTTCTGGAATGTCCCAGGTGACTCCAAGCTGGGACAGGCTTCCTGGGGCAATTCCCAGTGCTGGAGGTTGGTGTCCAACCAGGCTGAAGGCTGGCAGCATGTGGGAGCTCCCTGCTCCCACAAATGGCTGAGAGCCGAGGGACAATTCCTGACAGAAAATTGTGCCAAAAACCTCACAGAAGGTCCTGTAATCCCCAGCCCCTTTTGCTCCCCAGGTCACCAGCAGTAGGCCCACACGCCTGGGCATCCTTTCTCCTGCTGCCCACCCGCCCAGTCCCAAAACGGAGGAGCCCACCGACCCCACCATGTCATCGGAGCCCAGCGCCCCGCCGGCAGTGCCACCCCTGCACTCCCCCAAGTCGCCGGTGTGGCCCACCTTCCCCTTCCAGCGGGAGGGCAGCCGCATCTGGGAGCGGGGCAACCTCCTGCTTCGGGACCTGCCCAGCCCCCTCCCCACCAAGAGGACCAGGACCTACTCGGCGTAAGTACCTGCTGGGTTTGGGACTGTCCAGTGGAGCCGTGGTCACCTGCAGTGCCTGCAGAGCCCTTTGCACCTGGTGCACTTTGCCACCGCGGTGCCCAGCACCGCTGCAGCCCTGCCCAGAGTGCTGTGGGTGGGTGCCACGCACTCGGCTGGAACTGTCGTGTTCGTAGCAAAAATCCCTCCCTGTGCCTCCACCTGGGCAAGTGCCACCAGTGAAAAATCTTCCCTTTCCTCCTGTAGGACAGCGCGTGCCTCTGCTGGCCCCATCTTCAAGGGTGTCTGCAAGCAGTTCTCTCGCTCCCAGGGCCACGGGTTTATCACCCCAGAGAATGGCACCGAGGACATTTTCGTGCATGTGTCTGAGTAAGTCCCAGGGCTGTGCGGTGCTGGAAGGCCCCAAGGAAGCCATGCCATCAGCATGGAGCTGGAGACTTGTGGGCTGGGGTGTGGATATCTCCATGGGGTGGACATGGGTCTCTGCTTGTCCTGTACCCTCCATCACCAGTGGGTTTTCTTTTCCAAGGCACAGCTGGTGGGTCAGGTGCCTTCCTTTGTTTTGGGTGGTCTGGGGCAGGGGTCCATCTCTTGGCTGTGGCACCACCACCACCACCTCTCCTTTCCTCTCCTGCAGCATCGAGGGAGAGTATGTCCCAGTGGAGGGGGACGAGGTGACGTACAAGGTCTGCCCCATCCCTCCCAAGAACCAGAAGTTCCAGGCAGTGGAGGTGGTCCTCACCAACCTGGCGCCCCACACGAAGCACGAGACATGGTCTGGCCAGATCATCGGCTCCTAGGCGCCCAGGGGGGCCGCCAGCCACTCAGCCCCATGGAGCAAGCCTGCCCAGCCGCTCGCAAGGGGTGTGGGGGGAGCCGAGGCGGCGGCGGGGCCGGGGCTGCCCCCAAACATGCAGGCGTTTGCGTTCAGTGTCTTTTATAAGGTTACGGTTTCCTTTCTCTGTGTGTGTTTGTAAGTGTCTGTCGAGGGGGACGGGGGAAGTGGAGCCCTCCCTGACTGTCCCCCAGCTCCAGGGGCAGCACCGAGCCCCATGTTCCATTCCTTGCCCCTGAGGCCATGGGGAATAGAGGAACCAGTCCTAGCCCCAGCCCTCCAGCTCTACTGGGCTGAAGCAGGTGCTGAGAGCAGGAGGGGGTGGGGAGAGGCTGGGTGGCTCGGCTCACCCTCCTGAACTCCACTCTGGCAAGATGGGCACCCCACTCAGTCCACAGTGGGACAGCAGCAGTGGGCATGCCCTGGTGCAGGGACAAAACAGGGTGGTGTGAGGTGGCATATCACTGTGCGGGGTCTGGGGGCTGAGACCCATCCCCATCGCTGGCAGCTCACAGCACCCACCTGAGCCACATCCCTCCATCACAAGATCTCAGGTCAGCTGTGCCACGGGGAGGTGACTGGCTTACAGAAAGCAAAAATTTGGTTTTAAGAGGCAGACAGCTGCTGGCAGGGCACCCGGGGCATTCGGTGCTGCTGTGCCTGGGGTGCTGCACCTGGGCACGGGGCACTTGGCACCTCTGTGCTCCCCACTGCTGCTGGGCAGTAATGCACTTTTCTTGGCTCAGTGCTGATACGGTTTTGGGGAGACAGACACTTTCTCCTCCTTCTCTTGCCCTCCAGCCCCCTGGGGACCCCCTTCCCACGTATGTGTGTGTGTGTGCATGTCTGTAGCTTGCTGGGGCGGTGAGGGGCTGAGGGTCTGAGCAGCCTCGGCCATGGGGCGAGCACAGCCACCTCCTCCCCAGCCCCTCGGTGTAGGCAGGGTCTTGTATACAAAGCACAAACTTTGGTTTTGGTCTTTTCTGCCATACCCTGGCCAGGTGGGCTCCCACAGCCCCAGGGAGCAACGGGGCAGAGGGCACTGGGACACGGACAACATGCACTGGGCTGGTCTTGAGCTCACCCCAGGGAAACAATGCCGATGCTCCAGGAATTACCAGCATCTTAAGGGGTTCACAGCAGGCTGGGGACAGTGGGGTGCCAGCAGGTCCTCCCCAGCAGGGCAGGAGGGGACAGGCAGCTCCGTGGAGCTGCTGGCACTGCTGGTGCTCAGCATGGATGGAGCAGGGTGTTTGCCACCTTTTTTGCTGCTGCTGTTGGCGACAGGGCTAAGTGGGGAAGAGGAGCAGAGCAAGGCTGGTGCCACGCAGGACAGCTGGGCCCTGCGGATTCAGGAGGACCACGCTGGTGTGGGGATTGCCCCAGGACCCTCCGGCCCATCTCACTGCCAACCCAAAGCCTGGCTCTCCCAGAGGCTGTGGCAACGGTGGCTCAGGCTCCAGGCATCCCCAGGACATGCAGTCAGCTTGGCCAAGGCAAACTGTTGGATTTTTTTTTTTTTAAATAAACTAAAACCCTAGACTTGTTGGTGTTTTTACAACTCTGGTGTGGTTCCCGCCTGTCTGACCATGTGTCAACCTTTGTAACATTGGCAATAAACCATTAAAAGTGACTTTCCCATGAGCCCTGCCCATCCTGGCTCTTTGTCCTGTGTGCATGTGTCACAGTGACTCTATTAGGTAAAGCACCTGGAGCACCCAGGAGTTTATCCAGACATCAGAAAGGACTCACCCACAGTATGTCACCGAGGGGGCTGGAGATGCTCCACACTGTGGGCCTGGGACAGGAGGCTGCTGCTCACCTGTGGTGACCAGGAGTGGGGCTGGTCCCCCATTGCTGTGGGGACTGTGAAGTGTGTCCTGCCTGTTGTCTGGCTGCCCTTCACCCAGCACAGCCCAGCACAAAGCACACACTGCATCCAGCTGCTGCGTGTTGTGGCTTTAATAGGATTGATTTTAATTTTTTAATATACACATCTATGTATTTAAATATATTTCTCATTTAACAGTTTCATCAGCCAGACAGGAGCTGCCCATCTCACACTGATACGGATCCAAACAGCAGGACAGTCCCAGGTAGGGCCTGCCACGTCTGCTTGCTCACACCCATGGGGAGAAACCCCAGTGATGCTGTGGGCACCCACCACGAGAGGAGCATCATGGCAAAGGGGCCTCAGGGACAGGCATGAAATGCCTTTCACTTCAAAGGTGCACGTCACCTCAGCCCCCAAGGCCACCACGGTGCCCCACGCCATCAGGGCCAGACCCTGCTCTTCACTCATCACTAAGCTCATCAGAAGTCCTGCTGGCTATGAACAGACTCACAGGAAAAATAAACTCCCCAAGACTCACACATATCCTGATCCACAGTGAAACAGAGAGGAAGGAATCACAAAACACAATTCCTCCATGAAGGTTGCAGTGGAGGGCCAAAACGTGTGACCTGTGAAAAGGGTATCCTGCACACAAGCTTCTCCAACAGGTCCTGTTGTCCCACAAAGAAATCTTCCCTGGGTAGAAAGAGGAATTTGTGGATTTGCTGGGGATTTCTGGATGCCAGGCAGACTGCTGTGCTCATGAAAATGTGCTGCAGTTAGGAGGTGCAGTCAGGTGGAGGAGACAGCACCCCACCAGCACTGGTCATGCAGTATCCCTGCTCCTGTGGCCAGGCAGCAGTGCCAAGGGCCACCAGGGACTTTGCCCATGGCAATGTGGGGATCCAGCCCTGCCCTGGGTCTAAAAGCACCAGTGTCTCTTGCCTGAGGAGGATGGTGGTGCCTTGGTAGGTGGTGGTAGGCAGCTGAGAAACTCCTCTCTGCAGTCCAGCTGCCAGTGGAAAATGGAGAGCCACAATGAGGAAACCAGAAACAGAAGAAAAAGGAGAGAGAAAACAGGACCAAGAGATGGGGCAGTGCCATAACCAGCAGGGATGAGGTAAGAAAGGTTCCTGGGAAACAATGGGGGATGGTTTGCAGAAACCTCCAACATTCTCCAGCTCCACAAACACCACATCTGCGTACCTTGGGGAGCTACAAGCAGGACATCTCCCTGGAGGGGATCCCTGAGCTCCTTTTGAGCACCAAGTTGTGACAAGTGTCACCATTGTGGCCACACACCACAATGCAACTGCCGGGAATAAAAGGACAATGTGAGGGACAAGGTCAAAGGATGAAGGAGAAATATGGGTTTGCAACCCACAAAGATCCAGGGAGAGGACATATGACAATTGCACTGGACATCCTGCCTCCCTAAAGGTGAGCTTGTGAACTGGGTGTGTGGGATGAGATGGGGGGAAGAGCAAGCTTGGAGGGCACTGCTGAGCAGGTACCTCCAGTAGCTCTATGAACCAGGTACGGCCGGTGTTGGCCCTGCTGAAAATGCCCCTGGCAGCAGGATGGAAAGCTGAGCACTGGGGAGGGAAGGGGACTTGGTCTGTTATGAATGCCCTGGGAAAGGTTTTATAAGGACACCTCTGGGAGCTGGACCTGTTTAGTCCAGAGAAGAGGAGACAGAGAGAGGATCTCATGAATGCTCAAAGGCAGATGCCAAGAGCATGTGCCAGATTCTCCTTGGCGGTGCCCACCAACAGGATGATGAGCAATGGCCATAAACTAAAACACAAGGCTCCACTTCAACATGAGGAAGAACTTTACATTGAGGGCGGCAGAGCACTGGAACAGGCTGCCCAGGGAGACTGGGGAGTCTCCCTTTCTGGAGACATTCAAAACCCACCCAGACACATTCCTGTCACCTGCTCAAGGTGACCCTGCCTTGGCAGGAGGGTTGGCTAGATGATTTCCAGAGGTCCCTTGCAACCCTAACAATTCTGTGATTCTGTGATGCTCAATAGATGCAGGAGTGGGAAGACCTCTGGAAATCCTTCTACCCCAAACTGTTCCATAGCATGAAGTGCCAGGATCCTCCAGCAGTGCCAAGCAAGGTCTGACTTGAAAATAGAGAATAGTATAGAAAATAAACCCTAGGTGTTTTTTGTAAGCTAAAGAGAATTGGTTTCTTTATGCACCTGAGCAAAGCTCAGAGCAGCAGCCCAGCCATGTTAAAACTATCATTCCCAGGTCATCTGCAGGGAGGGACTGGCACACTGTGGCACTGAGGGGAAGGACACGGTGACCTCTCCATTAGAAAGCACAACAGTGAAACAAGCTGGGAACTCAGCTACTCCTTCCTACCACAGGCTTGGAGCAAACAGCCTTCCTGGCCTCCTGCCTCAGAGCAGTTCTGCCAAGAGCCTCAGCAGCCCCAGCCTCTCTGGCCAAGGTGCAAGGGGCAGAGAAAGGTCAGCCACACATTCCCTCATGCACAAGTGTTACGAGAAAGTGAGTGGAAAAGGAGAAGACGAGAGGAGAGGGAGTGCAGGATGGACACACACTCACTCTTTTGCCCTTTCTGACCACAAAAGCCTCTGCATCACCGCCCAGCACACCTGAACTGTCAAGAGAGAAGTTTCTCTGGAGACAAGGAGGGTCTGGTGCCGTGACCCCCGGCCCCACACGGGGAGCGCTGAGGGGCTGCTCAGCCAAGGCCCCCTCCTGCCACCCACCCACACTCACGTGTTACATCCTGACCAGCTCTGTCAAGTGTTTTTTTGGTCTACCCTGAGCAGATTCCACAAATGAAGGTGCTTTTCCTGGTGGGGGGAGAGGGTGGGACCGGGGCAGGGCTGCAGGGAGCGGGCAGTCAGCACTCGTTTGCTCTTTCTGGAAAGAAGATTTCACGGCATCGCTGGACCGTGTCCTGCGGGGACTGGACACTGTGTCCTACAGTGCGGGGATCATCATAGATTTCATAATCGTTCCCTCCCTGCAGGGGAACAGAAAACAGGGACAGCATTAGCAGGGTCTTGCCGGAACAAAGTCATCCATGAATCCACATTTTGCTCTGTCGTGTGGGATGCTGGGCTGGGAGGCAGAGGCTGGGCAGGCAG